TTATCTTTAGGCTTTTGTATAGCTCTACTGTACAATATAAGCCCTAGCTCGCCTTAGGATTCCGAGGTTGTCGTTCATCACGACCTAAATCCTCATATCTTCCAGGCTATTTGTGTGATCATTTCACACAAATGTAAGCCCTAATTAATAAAATTTACAGGATGAAACATTTAAATAATTTCTCCTCAAAACTGAAGTCAAACCATATGATAGCTTGGGAAGTCACCGAGGTTCTCCTCTAGATCTGTGACATCTCCTAGTTCTTCTTCCTTTGGATTCTACAATAAATGTTCCAAATTTGAGTCATTCTAATTCACACCTCTTTGTTTGATGTTGTTGAAAAGTCCTATCCTTTTGACCTCTTTGAAGATAATATTTTGTGATTTTTATCGAGAGTTTTCTTAGGTAACTTTGGTTATCTAAGATGTAATTAACTATAGGGGCTTGCCCTTATAGGAAGCTTTTCCGAACCCAGCTTAATATAAAACCTATTTAATTCTTCATATTAAAAAGGGGAACTTGTTGGCAAATAAAATGGTTTCACAGACTAAAAGAATGCCATATATTTTTTAGTTTATTTGATCGAGCCTCACCCTCAAGTCTTGTGCTTATCTTTCGGGATAAATACAGGGTTTGAGGTATAGTGCACCTTCATATAAACTATAAAAAATATGAGGTCAGTTTGATTTCATATTTTTCTAAACTATATATATATAAGTAAATTAAACGTTATTATGAAGCGGGCGACGGGATTTTGATTCTGGTGACCGACAGCTTCCAACGGACCACTCCTTAACCAAAATAGTGTCGATAATGATTTAATTGATCTAATGAACTAGATCATAATCTAGCTCATTAGAAATAATAAAACACTTAACCGTAACCTAAACAACTAGACATTACCAAGAATATATTTTATTTCATAATGTATAAAAGTAAACAAAATGAGAAGTAAATGTGAATACCTCAATGCATTGGCCCTTTCTTATCATTGATGTTTCCTTCACATTTACATATGCACCTAAATCATCTTCTTGAGGTCAGAGAGTTTGGATTGCCTTGGTTGTAAGTGTCTTCTCTAGATATGGTAGCTTTTAATCTTGAGAGATTCAAATAAAATATGGGAAGGGATGGGGATACTTACAACAACTCTTGAGATCATATTGTAACTAAGCACATCAACGCATTTTCTAGATGATGACCTTTTTGTAGATTAAGTTCTAAGGAATTTATGGTTATGCTAGTTGTAGCGCCAAAGTGGATTTGGTAAAATTTTAATAGTGTGTTAAGTGTCTAAGGATCATTCTAAGAAGAGATTTTAGCAAAAGTTGAAAATATGTCTTATCCAATGTTTAAACTATTAAATTTAGCCCACTAATGGGCTCTCAACAACTTTGCAAACTTAGAGATGATTTAAGTTAACACATAAAATATTTAATTACATTATTAATGCATTAGTAATGGTTTAAGTGAACTAATTTTAGGTTGTAGTGCATTTAGGTTCATGGTTTGAGTTATTTCAGCATAAACTAGATTTAGGTGGGCTGCTAGGGAACTTAGAAAGCATTCAACTACGATAGATTTCATTTAGTTTGGTTTGGATGATATTGGTTCAATGCAACTCAACCGGGTCCCATTAGCTTCAATGGATTAATGTGTTTTCATGAGGTCAAAAGGGGTTGAAGATCACATATGGGTAAGGTCACTTGTGGCTTGGTAAGGACACAATCTAATTAAGTTCCATTTTTAATTAGTTTTACTTAAATTGGTCTAAGGATTCTTATTAGGCCATTTATGACTCGCGTAACCCATTTTTTATTTTGATTTAAATTAATTATGCTTAGTTTTAAAAATGATATTTTAAATTTGAGCATTTTAAGATGAGTTTTACCCAGAATCCCTTTAACGATTCATATTTGGCTAACTTCACCAATCCCCAATTGATATAATAAGTTGAATTTTAATTTGGGAAGCTAGGATTAGTCTCTAGGTTAACCTTAGCTAAATCTAATTTCATTGACTTTAATTTATTTTATTCAAAATTGTTAAAGGGTCTAGAGTATTCACTAAGTTAAAGTGAGTTAACCATGGATGGGGATTTAAATTCAACCTAAGTGTGGTTCTTAATAATTTATGAGATTTTCAAGTTCATTGAGAGCCATAAGTGTAAGACATGAAGTTTAATTTGGTTAGTGGGTCCTATAGGATCATTATAACTTGACGTAGTCAAACTTGGTCAAACAAGTCCTTCATCTTAATTGTGATCTAAGGAGGATCGAAAAACTTTTAAGATAGACTCTAAGGCTCTAGATTTGATTTTGGGTTCATAAGTTCCATCTAAGGGTCCTAAATGTGACCTAAGGTTGCCTTGGGTTCTAATGATAAATTTGATTTAATTCTTAGTTATTAAATTTTTTCTTCTGATCTATGCAACTTTATTTAGATGAGCCATTAAATAATTCAAGATTACACAAAAAAAATTAAAAAATGATTTTAATGTTGTTTATTTTTGTTATACATTAGTTATTATGATAGTCAAACAAGAAACCCTAAAATAGTTCTTACACAAAGGCTGGAAAGACTAGAGAGTGTGTGTGTATTAACCTTATTAAAAATGATGTAAATAGTAGAAATAAAAATTTCTATCTAATGGAAAAAGATTTGATTAAGGTTTAGAAATATAATAATTATGATTAACTTAGTTTAAAATTGTGGTTTGATTTAAAATGCAAATTATTGACCCATAATTATTTTTATGAAATGAGATCCTCAATTGTATTGTATCATTTTATCAAAATATAAGTTAACTAACAAGGTGATACAACCTACCATTGTCTCTAGAATAAACTTAATATTAAGTAGTTCTATTGATTTTTCTTAAGGGATCCTCAAGTTTAAATGGGTGCACATAGACATGTATGTCCTATGATCTATCATAGTATCAATCTTGATGAATCTACTCTTTACTTCTTAAAATTTTGTAGATCTCCTAAACTTCTATTTGGTGGTCAACCAATTAAAATTAGTAATGTATATATTAAAAAATATGTCGCAACAGTAATGCATATAGATAAAAAATTTTGTTTTGAAAATAATAAAAAAAATAAACAAATGAGATACATCTAATACCCAAATTAGGGATTTAGTTCATGTTAGAATGAAAGAAAAAACAAACTATACAGATAAAACAAAATAAAATAAAGTAGAAGTTAGAGGTAGAAAAACTAAGTATTATAGGCTCTCGCTCTAATCTAATCACTATCATCCATACTTCTTTATTGTATTCTCCTCCATGTGCCGCATCATATTTCTCTAACAAAAGAGTTTCAAACAGATGCCAAAGTCTAAGAAAAAATCCTATTTTGTCCTTTTATAATCCTTAAATAATCTTCAACTTGAAATATTATAAGTGAGAGCTCATCAATCCAACTCAATTAGAATCGATTAAAATAATCTTGCTAAATCCCTTCTTAGCACATATTTGATGTACCACTCAAATAATCTAGCATGAATCAAAATTTCTTGAGTCACAAACACCTTGTTACATCTCAAGTAAACAATTATGTCAAGCTCAAGTTTTTAATTGAACTCGTATTTAAGCTAAGCTCAAGTATGATATTTTTTACTCTAGTCAACATTGTGCTCAATATATGAAATCAAGTTGAGCTTAACCTCAAATTTAAGCAAAGCAATAATTAAATGAGCTTTACTTGGTTAAGCTAAAACTTGACTCAACTCAATTCATTAGTACCCCTAGTCTAAAATCTCCTAAATACCTATTTTTCTTCCTTAATGTTCACTTTATTTGCTTATTCTTGTCATCATGTACATGAAATTTACAAAAAACTAGGATTTTACCCACATCAACACATATATTTGAATTATAGTATTTGATATCTTAAATATTAAACACGAATAATATAAAAATTCTAAAATCTAATATAATAAAGATACAAAATGACACTAATCAAATGATCTCACACTAGATCTTCACTCATCCTCAAGGAAAAAAAAACTCATATAAAACCAAACTCACAAATTGGAAAAATTCACAGCACAACATAACATGTTTTCATCTAAAATATTTTCAATTGCTTAAGGAAAATATTTCTCAAAATAATTTCAAAAGATAGGTGTTGCCATTATTATATTGACTTATATATTGACATATTCTTATTTAAATTTTATTATCAGAAATAACCACATTATTATAAAGAACACATAACAAGTATGCTGACCCATTTTTCATAAGAATGCAATGAGTAAACACATATAGTATCTTAAACTTTGATGTCTCAAGATTCCACTCAAGTATTGCTCGACATTCAAAGTTACTTCCATGATTCTTAACTAAATATAAGGATTGATGTGAAGTAACTAGTTATAAAATCACAACTTTTTATTTAGATCATATAATACTTCTCATGCCTTTTTTCTTCTTTTCTCTAAGAGGATATAATTCTTATTTTTTTTTATTTTCTTGTGTGTCTGACTTGCCTAGCTTAACAACCCACTTCTTTAACTAAAGACACATTACTTACTATTTTTGGGCTCATAACTATCTAATAAAACTTGATATATACGATAAATTTAGAAAATATATGATTAACTTGAACAAACTTCTTTCATTGATCAAGGGAGTTTAAGTTAGTTTCTCAAACGACGAGATATAAAGTACTAATTATGTAAATTAATATAGTTAAGATGTAATTGCAAGAGAATATTTATCCCGTGCTCATTATTCAGGTGTTATTATGATAGTATTGATATATTATTGTGTTATTAAAACACGAAAAATATTTTTAGAACATAATAATATATAAATATAATAATAATAATAATTAAATAATGTAGAATAATAATATTTTTTTATGCTAAAATAAATTTTCTTTTATCGATTTCATTGCTCCCGAGTCCCGAGTCCCGAGTCCCGAGTCCCGAGTCCCGAGTCCGTTCTTAATATTTGTTTCCTTTTTTATCACTCTTCCGCTCCTTTTTCCCCTCCACAATCTGAAATCGCAATCACCAAAACCATTCCCATGGACGCTCCTCCTTTCCAATCCTCTCGAAGCTGGAGCATATATGGCCGCTCCGAGATCACTGAGCATTACGAGATCCTCGAACGGATAGGCTCGGGTGCCTACTCCGATGTCTATCGCGGCCGCCGGCTCTCTGACGGGCTCTTCGTCGCTCTCAAGGAAATCCACGACTACCAAAGCGCATTTCGCGAAATCGAGGCACTCCAAATCCTCCGCCACGCTCCCAATGTGGTCGAACTCATCGAGTACTTTTGGCAGGAGGACGAAGATGCCGTTCTCGTTCTCGAATTCCTCCACGCTGACCTCGCCGCGGTCATCCGTGACGGCAAAAAGGCCGGCGTATTGCCTGCCCGCGAGGTCAAGCAGTGGATGCTTCAAATTCTTAGGGGCGTTGACGCCTGCCATCGGAATTTGGTTGTCCATCGCGATCTTAAACCCTCGAATCTGCTTATCTCGGCAGATGGAGTTCTCAAGCTAGCGGATTTCGGCCAGGTAGCTTTCTCACCTGATAAGCGTTCTGGATCTTGAATCACTTAATTCTTCATGGATTCATTGAATCTCTCATGCATATTCAGTAGTCATTATCTGATTACATGATCAAATGTTATTGCTTATGATATTAAACCTTAATAAAATTGAAGAAACAATCTCAAGAGGATAAGATAATGCAGAATTAAACCTTATGTGGCTAACAAATGTTCGTTCAAGACAATTAGAGTGTACCTTAAAGATGACCAAGGAAAATATACATAATTTTCTTTGAACATATAAATTAATGATAAAGAAATAGCTGAAAAGCATCTCACTTCAAGATGAGTCAATCATTGTAATGATTTAACTATGGCTACCATGTAAATGTCGGTGAGCGAAACCCTATGATGCCCTTGATTACTGCCATTAATTCTTTTATTTTGTTGATCACCCTCTGTTGGGTAGTGATTATAGTGGTACTTTTTGACAAGCCTGGGAGAAATATGTTGTTTATTATAATAATAATTCCTAATATTTTCAAAACATCAATTTATATTTTCATCTCTTTGTGCTCTAAGTATAGATGACAAATGTAGCAATGTAGGAATTGCTTTAGGGTCTATAAAAATTTCACTTATTGTGACATTTTTAACAAGTTTACGGGGCTCATTAGTGTCATGTCATGTTTGTCAAAGGTGAGTAGTACCCATAACGCAAAATCTACCCAGAGCTATAGTGTATGTTACATAACGTCGTACGAGCTATTTTAAACATGACACAAAATATTAAAAATTATGAATAAATTATAGATAAATATGAATGGCGATCAAACTGAAAGATAAATGATTATGGTAATAATACAACATGAGTGATGCTTAAAATTCAATGGCTAAACAACACAACCACTTAAAATACAAAATATTACAATTTATGTGCAAGTCACAATAGTTAACATGAAGGTTCACTCACAATTATTATGTGAATCCACTTTAGAAATCATCCTAGGAATTTTTTAGAACATTTATTTGATGATTTCAATAATTATAAACAAAACCTTGATGATATTTTTTTCTTACATACAATAATTCAAATCAAGTTATAACGAGTAATGTTTGCTTTTATATGCAAGTATTGATTTATGAAGTCTTTATGGTGTACAAGCCAGGAAATTTTTTATTAAAATCTGAGCAAAATTGAGAATAATGGAAGGAGATGCACCTATAAAATTGGCAGAGTTGTCCGATAGCGTCTAAACACGATAGACAAGGTTGCTAGAGTTGCATTTGGAGGAATTTATCAGCTTTTATACGTGGTAGCAATGGGTGATGCAGCTTGTAGGAGGCGATTCATGAGAAAGATGAATGTGGACATAGCGATGTGGCCCATGATGAAGGTGCGAGAGGAGTAACAACATAACTTGCAAGAGTTGTGGCCACCAACAGCCTGCTTTCAACATCATATATGGATTCATGGTGCTAATTGTATCCATGCTTACTTTTAGAATCAGATTCTAAAACACTCTAGACTGGACAATAAGTAGTTTAGGGATTCATAGCAAAGTAAAGCTAAATTAAAAATATACAAGAGGCACTCAAACCATTTTAGAGTTTATGGAAGTTATCCAAACAATTAAAACAGTCAAGACAAAACTGCAGAGCCAGTCATGATAATTAGGGTAAAGGATTCAAACGTGCAAGTAGTTTCTAAAATATCAAATTATTTAACAGTGAAAAATAGTTTAAACTTGACTTGCAATGTTCTCTAGGAAGAAAAGGGGAACACTTTTTTATGTAACACACAAATCTTGACAATTTGATGCACTACCACCTTGATGCCTCCATTTGTAAAATTATCACCAAAGTATTGAATTCTCAACAAAAAGTGTTTTTCCCCATCATCAGATTGATTGTGGCATGCACAAATGCATGGATTCGACATTTAATCATATATTTTGGATTCAATAGCTCATTTTTTTGTATGGACGCTAGATATGTAACTATGCTTAATCTTGGTGGCATGCGTGAAATCCCCTCCTGGATTCAGTAGGTTTTTTTTTAAATTTTTTCGGGCGATATATATATAAATATGCTTGTTTTTGGTGATGTGTGCGGACTTTCTCTTGCTTTAGTAATGTTGAAGTAGTTGCTCTGCATTAAAGAGAGCTCTGTTAGTTCACTTGAACTCAGCTGATTTGAACCAGTTCCATGGTATTTTGTGAGTCAACTTAAATTAGGAAGGGGTACTGTTTGTTGGAGAAGCACTCAAACTGGTATTTTATTGGTATCAAATTTCTGTCTGTGCAATCTTTCAGTGGAATTCAAATGGGTATGGTTTTCTCTAGTACAAAAGATATCATCAGTGATGTTATGGAATATTTGCTGTTTTATTTATTGTAACTTGACTATTCGTGAAATTAGTTGATATTTGTATTTATTTTAATGTGATGTTTGACATTAAATTTCATCCCAGGAAATATTTGGTGCCACATGTTATGTGACCTTAGACATATATAACATTAGTAACGTTGAACCATCATACATCATGGGTTCAAAACTATAAAATGTTATTCTATTCCGTCTTCATCTTAGCTTTATGTATTGAATAGTTATCATAAAAAAATGCACTGATATATAGGAAATTGAAGTTTTGGCTTATTTTTGCTATGTTGGTGTCGGCGCTTAAAAGAAGAGGGGGGAGGGAACGAGAGTTTTGGATGTT